GGGGGGACAAAAAGAGTTACTACCTGATGACTGGAAAATTGATTAAAACTATGTTAGAGGAGACCTCAGATCAATAGTCTCCAAAGTGGGATGTTCAAGACAGTCCATAAGGAAAATGGTTTTTGTACCATTAAAAAATAAAATTAAAAAAAAAATTAATAGTGCTTTATTTAACTGTCCTCTCATCCATTTTTAATATTTATTTTTCTGTATGTTTTATGACATACATATTAGTACAGTAGCATATATATATAATTGAGACGTAAAAATACATTGCAGGTGAGTGGTCACAAATTTTTTTACTGATGGGGTGTGTGATCAAAAAAAGGTGAAGACCACTGCCCTAGATCGTTCTTCTAGGTCCCCTACAGAAAAGTAAGAGAGTCCTCACCCTAGAAAGCTTGCACTCTGAGATGACAGGACATGCCAACAAAACCAATGCAGCACTTTGTCTTCAGTTTGGGAGAAAAAGAGAAAAGTTTGCCTTTCCCACTTTAGGTGAACTCCACATACGGGGGTGGTACTCTGCTACATGGTTTTCTTCCTAATTTCATGGTTTACTCCTCACCACCCCCAATCCATCAAGAGTTAATGCTTTAACCACTAGTATACCCATTTCCACACATTCTCCAACTGGAAAAACATCCTTCTTCATACCCCTCTCCCCAGCACTTCAAATGCTTTCTCAGAGCTGTCAGCACATTCCACCTTGCTGCATTTCTGTGCATCATCCCCCTGTTTCCTACACCAAATCCTCCATCACTGAACATGAAATAATCCAGCAACAATTTAGTATTGCAGGTGCTTTTTGAAACAGTGACATATTTCATCATCCTTTCTTTCCCAGGTAATTCCACCTCATCAACTCTGGCATGAATCACCTAACAAAGCACAACCAAACTCACATTAAAACTCTTAGCAGATTACTCAAAAGCAGCACTCCTGTCTCCTTTTGAGGAAAATGCCACAAAAAGCAGATTTGGAGAAGAGATCTGAACTGGAACTGCATACTCCCCCATATAAACTGGACAAAATATAACGAAATCCACATAAGAATAGGGTCTAGGGATTGCAATTATTCCCACCACCTCTCTGGCAGGGGACAAAATACATCAGCACAGCATAACCCAATCTCACACACCTGTGCATCCACACATCCAACACAAAAAATCATTAGAAAATATGACTACATGCCAGTCATCTTTGCACTTCATGCCCCCCCATAGGAAAACATCAGAACAGATACTGTGCTCTTCCAACACCATGGGTATTTCCTAATGCACAGAAGGCATGCAGGAGAAGGTGCCACAAGTCAAAACTGAAATATCAGGAATAGATTTAAAAGGTGAGACAGAAAAGGGCTCAAAAATTACAAGTGGTTTGCCGTAACAGATTCAAGCTCCACCACCCACACCAGCTAAGGCATTTGTAAAATCTCTGCTACACAGGCAGCCTGCAACAGACTAACAGAAAATGTAGCAATGTAATTGCTATGTAATACACACAAAAAATAACAATAAAAAACAATAAACAGAACATTAAGAAATTGAGTTCAATTAAAAAAGAACCCCCTCCCAGACATCAGGAGAAACCCACTTCCTTGCTGTATCAGCAGCCACCAGCACGTTTCTCCGCTGGAAGCTTCCCAGGAAGCAGTGATGACAAACCTGAGACTGCCCACTTTCACTTTCTACATGTAAGCAGATCGGCACGTCAAACACAAACACTCTCACCTGCACTTGCCTCCCAAACACCTCATGTCACCTAATTTCTACAACCAATTCAAGGTGCAATAAAACCCCCGAATCACAATCATTGCACAAATAGTTGATTAAAAAAAAAAAAATCCTTTCTGACATTTATGCATTTATTTATAAATATCATCACACTGAGGAGAAGTGACTCGGTGGGCAGGAAGAATGACAGATGACCCTAAAGGTTATCTTTTCCTAAAGGACATCTTTTCCTAAAGGAAATCATGCTTTAACTCATGTATACAAATAACATCAAAGCATGAAATAAGAAAAATAGGTATTGGTAGAGAGAGAAACTCGAAAATCAAAACCAAGCAAGAACACTTCACAAGAGGTGAAAAGGAAACTCTTAAACGTATCCCCAGCACAGTTGCCCCAAAAGCCTCTGCCCCATGCTTTCACATCCCCCACTGAACCATAATCCCCACATCCCAACAGCAGCCCTGGGAAATAACCAGCTCCCCTTCCCTATGGCCACCTCCTGCTCACACTTTGACAAGCATAATAAAGCCCTCTAGAGAAACTAAATGGAAAGCGAAACTGGGAAATTCTGTCTAGAGGAAGATGATGAAAGGAAAGCCGCAGCACTGCATAAAGCTGGCAGCCCAGCACCACCACAAACACAACATCAACTGCACCATCACCAAGCCTCACCAGGCTCCTGATCACCACCACCCATGGCACCCACCATGCCTGCGCCCGCAACGCTGCACAGATGCCTGTGGCACGGCACCTCGATGATCCTGCTCCTCCTGACAGCTCTCACCACCACGCTCTCCTGCCAGCACATGCGTCCCCAAGACGCCACCTTCGCCTGGGACAGCCTCAAAATCCTGAAGGCCATGGCTCCCACGCCATCACAGCCCTGCCAACACTACCAGCCCCTCTTCCCCTTCCCCGACACCCTCCTACACACCAACCAACCACAGCAAGCCGCTGCCATCGCCAGACACATCCTCCAGAACCTCCTCGCCATCCTCAGCAGCCACAGCATCCCTCAGCACTGGGATGCCAAGGCACGGCACGACCTTCTCAACAACCTTTATCATTACAGCCATCACCTGGAGCAATGCATGTCAGCCAAGAGGACGCTCACCAAAAAGCAAGGGCCCCGCAACGTCGTGCTCAGCATCAACAAATACTTCAAGCGTATCCAGGACTTCCTCCACACCCACAGCCACAGCGCCTGCGCCTGGGACCACGTCCGCTTCGAAGCTCGCGCCTCTTTCCAACGCGTGGACACGCTCATACGGCAAATGAAGAGCCGAGCCACTCCTGCTCCCCCCTAGAGCCACCAGCCCCAAATGCCCATCCCCAGCCAACGCCGCAGGCCACGGATGGAGGAGAGGCTGGAGCAGCTCAGGCAGGGATTGCGACGCACCGCTCAGCACCTCTTCCAGCCAGAAGCCTGCGCCGATGGGGAAATGGGCACGACCGCGGCGAGGCCGGGGCCAGGCTGCGGCACGGCCCGCGCACCCACACCGCAGCCAGAGCTTCGCTGAAAAGGAAGGAGAAGGAAGTTGCTGTGCTCCACACTCAGGGACACAACGCGAGGCGATGGGGATAAGGACTGTGTTGGGGATAGGGATCGCTCACACCGCAGCCAGAGCTTCGCTGAAAAGGAAGGAGAAGGAAGTTGCTGTGCTCCACACTCAGGGACGCAACGCGAGGCGATGGGGATAAGGACTGTGTTGGGGATAAGGACTGTGTTGGGGACAGGGATCGCAATGGGGATAAGGATCGTATTTATTAACCACAGGACTCAGACTGTGACTTCTGCTGATGGAGGGGAAGGCCCACATGGAGACTGCGGAACTCTCACTATTTATAACAGAACCCTACTTATTTATTCATTTAGTTATTTCGTCGGCCCTTATTTATTATTATTATTTATTTATTTATTTGTTCGCTTGCTGGAAATAAAAGACTTCTGAAAAACAAAAAAGAAGAAAAAAGAGGTGGTCATGCTTATACCTGACAGGCAAAGACTGGGTCTCCGCAGGCAGGCAGGGATGAGCATCCCTCCTGCAGCATGTCCCATCAATGCCTCCTGCCCCAGGCAAAGGCTCCAAACAGCAGGCCACTCTTGGGGACCCACCATGGTCCTTCAAGCTTGCAGGCATCTCCCAAGTCATGCCTGACCACTGGAGCACACAGGTGCCCAGATGACATGATCCCTGCACTACAGGCTAATCCTGTACCATCACACACCCTTCTCCATTCCCAACTCTCTCCCACAGCCAAGACATGAAAGCTGTCTCCGAACCACCACCCCATCACAAACATCCATTCAGTGATGCAATAGCACCACTTCGGACCAAGCAGGGTGGCATGGACAAGGTACACCTCAAAAAGGCAAGGAGGGGACCCACAAAGGTCTGTGGAGATTTGGGCAAGTACTCCAGTGCTACCAACCCCACCCGAAAACAAAAAAAAGCCACAAAACCCACAGGAGATGACCAGCGCTGCTCATTGCTCTCCTACAACCACCACCACCAGACCAGGACACTCCTGCCTGTACTCACATGGGAGCCATGGGGACCTGCCTCACTACATAGAGCACATTGGCCCAGGGCTTTTTCACCTCAACACATCCTTAGCAAACAAAAAAATACATCCCCCAAACACTACCACCCAACATGGCCCAAACCAACCAGCACAGAATTCCCCGTGAAGGAAACTGGCTGCACACCACCAGCATCAGCTGCTTCTTCACCCTCCAACCACCACCACAAAAATATCTATCCCATGTGCCCCTCTATTCTGCACTCGCGAGACCCCACCTGGAGTACTGTGTCCAGCTCTGGAGTCCTCAACACAGGAGGGACGTGGACCAGTTGGAAGGGGTCCAGTGGAGGACCACGAAGATGATCAGAGGGATGGAGCACCTCCCCTATGAAGACGGACTGAGAGGGCTGGGGTTGTTCAGCCTGGAGAAGTGAAGGCTCCAGAGAGACCTCAGACCAGCCTACCAATATCTGAAGGGAGCCTACAGGAGAGCTGGAGAGGGACTCTTTGTCAGGAAGTGTAGTGACAGGACAAGGGGTAATGATTTTAAATTGGAAAAGGGGAGATCTAGACTAGATAGTAGGAAGAAATTCCCTGGAAGTGTTGAAGGCCAGGCTGGATGGGGCTTTGGGTTACCTGCTCTAGTGGAGGTGTCCCTGCCCATGGCAGGGGGGTTGGAACTCAATGATCTTTAAGGTCCCTTCCAACTCTAACCATTCTATGATTCTATGATCTCCTTTGCCCTCCTGCAGGTAAGCCTGAGCAAGGCAACACAGAAGCTTAGCACCTCTGGCCTCCTATCGCCCAGGACAAAGAGGTTACTCTCCCTGCTCAGTCACACCACCTCCACCTCGTAACTGCAAGGGCACTACTCCGTTAAAAAAAAAAAAAAAGGAGCACTTTCCATGCAGATAGTGAGCATGAAAACAAGTGGGACCAAATATATTCAGATGCAACTTCTAGATTGTACTGCAGTCCTCCTGGTGTTCCTTCTAACCACAATCACCCTGTGATGCCAGACCAGTGGGGACCTCATTGGCTCTGTCTTCTCTGAGGTGGCTGAAGAAAGGAAATCTCAATCAGACATAAAACCAAAGGAGGAGAGATAACAACCCAAACTAGAACGCAGGGATTTCAACAAAGGAGGAGAGATAACAACCCAAACTAGAATGCAGGGATTTCAACCCAAACTAGAACGCAGGGATTTCAAACGCGAAAGAATAAACACATTTTTATGAACTTTACCATGATACTGACACACCACCAGAAGAAGGATCAGAGAGGTTGTGGGATGTCAAATCCCGGAGACATATTTGAAAGCATCACTGGAATAGTGAATTAGTAACCTCTCCTGACACCACCCACCATGACGAACAGATTATACTCAAGAGACCCAGAGAAACATGGACCATTGAAAAACCATTTAAAAACTGAAAAGAAATGATTGGACAAAGAGTGATAAAAAACCACCAAAACAAAACAACCAAAACCAGAGAGAGAAAATGAGAAGTTTGAGCAGTATGACACTACAACCTAAGAGAGATGCAATTAAAAAGGAAAACACTGGAAAACGAAAAAAATGGAATTCTTTCTAGATGACCTTTTCTTCCATGCAGCACGATGACAAAATGTTCAAAAAAAACCCCAACCAACAGAATCACCCCCAATAAAAATATTATAGGATATGACCCCTTCAATGTTCGATAAGCAACAACTTAGAAAACTGACATATATACACCATCACAATGAGGTTCAAACTGACCAAAGGGAAAAAAGAGATTGTAGAACCTTCGTCAGTAAACATTCTGTGCTCAAGATCATTCACCAAAAAAACCACCTCCTCATTGAACATCTGGAGTTCAGGGCTTTGGAGATTCCTCAGAAACATATCACTTCACAAAACTCCAAATATATAAAAAGAAATGATGAATTCATATGGAAATAAGGATGACAAACATACAGAAAGTAAAAAACACAAAATAGTAGTAGAGTATTACATAAGGAAAACAGAGAGTTGGGCAGGAAGGGAAATTCAGGCCAAAAAGTGCCATCAGAGCTGGCACGAGACGGAAGAAAAAACCACAAAAAAACGATACCAGTAGAAAAATTCCTCGAAGTTACTACCCCACTGATTTCACATCCCAAAACTCAACCCCCTGACGGCCCACCATGCTCCCCACAACACACACACAGCCCCTCCCCAAGCACCCAACACCCCAACAAGGAACTTCCCCAAGACCACCACAAAACACCCGGAAAATCGCAACTAGAAAGCGAGAAAGGCACCACAGCTCGCCCCGCACCCAACAGCCAAACCCCAACACCCCTCCCCACACACCTGCCCCCACCACCCTCCAACACAACCCCCGACGGCCCACCGTCCTCCACAAACACCCAACACACCAACAAGGAACTTCCCCAAGACCACCCCACCAACCAAAAAGGGACACCCCGCAAAATGGAAACCGGAAAGCGAGAAAGCAAAAGCACGGCACCCCATAAAGACGGCCACCCGACACCACCCCAAGCACAGCCACCACCAACACCCACCCACCACCACCCACCACCAGCCTCCTCACCAACACCACCCACCATGCCTGCGCCCGCAACACCCCACACCCGCCTGCCCCACGGCGCCACCACGCTCCTGCTCCT